TATATATATATATTGTGTGTGTGTGTGTGCTGCATTTATGGGGGATGTATCTTTGTGTGATGTATGTGTGTGAGCACGTGAAAGTGTGGCTGCAAAGAAATGCTTAACTCTATGCAACACTGTAAGGTCATTATTTGAGACACGGGGCCTCCTAATTTAACGTCTATCTCCGATAAGATCGTGCCAAATGAGAAAACCCATGTAAAGTGCCTTCCCCAAGGACATACCATTGGACTGGGCTGAGCCTCGAACCCGTGAACCCGTAATCTCTTGACTACGAGTCCTGGTAACCTAACCACTAGACTTCCATGGCCATTCAAACCAAGAACCAGAGATACTCCTCCTCCACCTAACCGCCCTCCCCCCATCCCCTCAGGCCATTCACCAAATCACTCCCACCAACAACACCACCACCACCACAACAACCACTGCCACCCCCACCATCAACAACAATAACAACAACAGCAACAGCAACAACAACAACAGCAGCCCCCCCCCTCCAATGAAACACGACAACTATTATTAAATAACAACAACAACTAAAACAACATTAACCACTCCCTCCAAAAAATCGAAAATGCAAAAAAAACACCAAAAACCGATACATAAATAAAAAAAAAAAATTTTTAGTAAAAAAACCTAACCCACCCACAGATACCGAGCAGACGCCCCTGCACTCATGTACTATGACGAGTCATCCGGACTCACGCCCAAGGAGAGAAGGGAGATGTACGACCTGCAGATGGAGGAGGAGGATTACGTGAGGATGAAGGAGAAGGAGAAGGAGGAGGAGCTGAGGGAGATCCGTGCTCAGGAGGAAAGAGAGAAGGAGGCGATCGTGGAGTTGGAGAAGAAGCTTGATGAGCTGGAGAAGATGAAGAATGAGGTGGACACTCGTGAAGGGTGAGAAAATGACCTTTTTATTTCTTTGTTTAGTTTTCCTTTTTTTTCTCTTTCTCTTGCTTTCTACCTTCTTCCCTTTTCCCCACTTTTGATATTTCTTTTCTCCTCTCTCTTCCTCTCTTTCACTACCATTCTGTTGATTAAGATTCCGGTTACACAACGAAGTATGCCCCCCCCCTCCTTCCCCCAAAAGATTCCCTTTGTCCGTCTTTCTCTGTATTGCTGCCACCCCGCCCCCCCACGGCCCCTTTTCCCTTTTTTCTGTAACTCTCTACCATTGTCTTTCCTTTTTTTTACCTTTTCCTTTTTCTCAACTCGCAAAGGTTCACAACACTGGCTATAGTGTCAAATGGATGCATTCGTATCAAACATTAATTTCTCGAAAATGTTTGCGATTTATGCCCCCATCTGCACGATTTAGATCACTTAGGCGGTGGGCTTTGAACTCGTCTCTGGAGACCAACACATGCTGAGAGGGATATAGAGATCTAATCCCCCAGCTGAGAAACAGACATACTTGATATAAAATTTTCTCCATACAGGAACCAAACTTAGGTCTTCGGGTCAACCGCTTCACCACCCGATCGCCACCTCAGAATTAGAACGTTCTATCTGAAAATTTTCGCCGTTGTAAGTTACTAATACTAGGCCCATGAGGTCAGAAACCGAATGTTTCACAATCTGATCTATCAAAATCGTAACATGGTTCGGAGTTGTTATCCAGATATTCAAAGAATTGTATTCGAAAAACTTTGACATGTTTTGAAACTCTTTTTATTGACTCCAAAATTCTCAAAACTCGGAACTGCGCAGGTCATCATCATCATTGCCTTTCTCACCCTGCATCAGGGTATAGGCCACGGACAAACACCCCC